CAAGTACTTGGCGATCGTTGGCCATACGATGTACCTGGCACCGTCGATGAAATTGTTGTACTTCTTCAGGTAGGAAAGAATGTTAACGGCGAAGTCCGCTCGGGCAGACTGCGGCAGGAAACTCTCCGCCAAGCATAGGATCTCGATCTGTCTCTTCGTAAACGCGATGTTGCTCCGCGTCAAAACGAACGAGGATATCTCCCTGTCGTTGCTGGAATACCGTAACCTCTGCAACGTCTCTAGAACCTGCATTTCCAGTTCGTTCGAGGACTCTAACAAGATTCGTCGATCGTCAGGTATCGCTGCCAAGCTTGCCCCTGCTCCGATCGGCAAGTAGTAGTTGAAGTTCGACTGGCTGGGCAGTTCGGGAACGTATCTACCGACGTCCAACAGTCTCGGATCCTGGAACTCTGGCAGGAAGGTGAAAATGTCCGGGAGTGTCGGGATGAAACGTCTGACCGTCGGCCAGGCGGAATACTTGAAGCAGGAGAGGTAATTGTACTCCTTCATACATCTGACGGTCCTCTGAACGAACTCCGGCCGATAAGAGATCGGTATCAGCTTCTCGGCCATGTTGATCGTCAGTAACTGGTCCTCGGGTATCAGAGTTACATACCTGTCGATCGATTCGTCGAGGAAAGACGGGGAGCTGAGCACAAGCGGCTGTTGTTTCAGAGTGTTCTGAAGCACCTGGATGATGAGAGTTTCCGGCCTGACATTCTTCGTTCTGGTACCGTCAGCGTCCACGACTTCCGGCAACTCGGCCAACTCTTCCGAGAAGCCAGGGAACGGGATGATGGGGTACTGCGGAAACACGTCGATCACCGGATACCAGCCCTCGTAGTCCGGGAAAGCTGGCAGAGACGGGAAATACTGCTTGACCAGAGGCCAGGCGAAGTACTTGACGCAGCTGTAATACTCGAATCTTTGTACGCAGGAGAACATTTTGTCGGAGTACTCTCGCCGCGCGCTTTCAGGCAAGAATGTCTCGGCCATCTGAAGAATGGCGAATTGCCCGGGCGTGAGAAATCGCCTGAGAGTATCGTTCTTCGGGTCGATGTAAGAGGGCAGCGTGTCATCCTTTGGATACGATTCCAAAGCGTTCGCCAGGATGCTGTACACCACGAAATCCGGCGAGAGGATGTTGATTCGACGGAGGTCGTGCGCCCTGCCCGACTTCTCTCTGGCTCCCTGAAACAAGTTCACCTCGATTGGAAAGTTGCCGAAATTCTGGATCGATTCGGGCAGATTGTCCACAACGATCGGCCAAACGAAGATTCGCAAGCAATTGAAGATACTGAGTCCTCGAATGCACTCCGTCAGGTTGACGACGAACGACTGCCGCTCTCTAGTCGCTAGCAATTGCTCGGCGCATCTGATTATTCGAAGTTGAACATCGGTTAAACCGAGTTCTTCTTTCAAGCTACTCGCGTGAGAGTCGTCCAGCGGCTCCAATCTTTTCGACTGAACGATCCGCTCCAACGTGTCTAGCAACTGATTCTCCGTAAATCTCGGAATTTCCGGCAGGACGTCCCCTTTCTGCTCCCTCAAACGCTGCACGAACGCGCTGTTGCCAATCTGTTTCTGCAACGAAATCGCCTGACCCTTCCACCTTTCGAGAAAACTATACGCTTCTCCCGATTGTCTAACGTTGTCAGAGAGTTTGTCACCTTCTTTTACCTTGTTCCTTCGCTCGCTGTGGACCTCCTCCTGGGTGAACGCGACTTCGTCCATCTCGAGCTTCCTTTTGAAGTTCAGAAGCTTCGCCTCGTCTATCTTGTCGGTCCTCTGAGCGTCCAGCGCGTCGTCGCGGATCGATATCAACTTCCTGATCTGTCCATCGACGATCGACTGCTGCTCTCCATCGGACACCTTCTTCTCCTCCGCGTTCAAGTAGACGGTGGAACTCTTGCGTTTCGACTTGTTCTGAGACTCGGCCAGAGATCTGAATCCTCTGTTCGCGTGAGACTCCTCAGAGTCTGAGCTATCGTTCGACGAGATCTCCTCCTCGCTCTTGCCATCGTCACCCTCGAGCTTCCCCGATTTTCGAAAGTAACCGAGAAGTACTTCCTTCGATCGTTCACGTCCATCCTCGGCGTGACTCTCTTCATATACTTCCGATTTTTCAAGCTCGAATGCTCTTTCAGATTCTTCGTGCTGCTTTCTGCTTTGCTGCTCGTCGATCGCGCCAGAAGCAACTACCGCACCATCAGCGTCCACTTGCACGTCGAATCTCCTGATGCCTTCGTCCTTGGCTTGCTCTGCTGGAACCTCTTGGTCGGGTTTACCGATCAAAGCAACGTCGTTTCTTCTGCGCTTCTTCACCACGCCAATCTCCTCCGTCTCCTTTCTCAATACCTCGCTGCCTTCGTCGCTCGCTCGAGTGTCGATCTTCTTCGCACTGGATCCTTCCTCCAACACCGAGGAAGAGTCGTCCTCGTGGCCGGTTCTCGACTGCGAAATTTCTTCGTCATTCCTCCCCGACACTCCTTCGGACACGACCTTCTCGTTCTCCACGTCGTGCGCGTCGACAAGTTTTCCTCGCACCAGTTCCGGCGCGATGTTCCTCGAATCTACTTGGCCAACGTCGTCCTCCTTGTCGATCGGCGACAGTTTGTCAAGCTGCGCCCGGTCCTCCTCATCGTGCGGCACGCTACGTGATTCGACAACGCGCAGAACGAACAGAAGGAACAAGAACAGGCAGAAGAGAGAACGAGGGAAGAAACCGAAGGTAATACCGGTGGTTGGCTGTGTGCGTCGCGAGTTGAGTGCTCTCATGGTCGCGGTCGAGAGGCGAATGTCTCGGCCACTTGTGAGCCGGTCTATGGTCAGCCATGGTCGAGAGCTATGGTAATACATATAGCGTATTGGTCCGCGGGACGCGGAGATGACCGTGAGAGTGTACGTACAGGCTCGACCAACGAGACGCGCGGATTCGCGAGACTGTGTGAATAAGAAACAAGTCGGGAATTTCCATTTTTACGCTGTCCCCCCCTTTCTCTCTCTCTCTCTCTCTCTTTCTCTCTCTCTCTCTTACGAAGCGCAGCTCTCCCGGGGTTGCGAGCGAATCGAACTCGCGGTCTAACGGGTGTAGATGCGTTTTATCTTTGCGCTTCTTACGATCGTCCGTCTTCAGGGAACCAGAAAATTCGCAGAATCACTCCATTAACCCCGTCGACGACGCGGAGAAGTGAGTGGTAATTTTCCTTCTGCCTGGACGGAGAAGATTTATAGAAGTAAAATTTTCATAAAAACTATTCAATTTTGTTTTTGTTCACAGTTATTAATGTCCTCTGGATCCTCGACTGGCATCGTTGAACCAACTTTTACGTTATTTAATTTTACAACTTCCAGAATCGACGAACTTTCACGTGTTTATGAAAAATTTGGAGCTCATTTGCCACCCTCTATCATCGGTGGCCAGCCGAAGGAGATTTTCAGAGAAATTTCCAAGAAATTTAACCCGGAATTACAAACTTACGAGTCGGTGAACAGATTCATCTCGATCGCGAAGGTGACGTAACTTTTTTTCTTATGGTTCGACGTCGTTCGAGCGACGAATCAGTTACACCGCTGCCAGTTCGATTTCTTCTTGCGACCGAAACAGTAATGAGCCTAACCTTGAGGCAGTGATGCTTGGAAAATAACATGGTTCGCTCCTCTGCGTGAGATCTGACGCGACAGCCTCTCGTGATTCTATTCTCCAGTCCCTCGTTTCTGCAACGTTGACCTACGATGCTCCGCATCGATCTATATACGGAATTATGCTCAGAAATAATGAATAATAAATGAAAGAGTGTATACCCTAAAACTCCGTCAAGTTAAGAGACTTTTACATAGAACAGCTGAAAACGGAATTCGAATCCTCTTCGTGGTCTTCGTTCTTCTGAGCTTGCTGAAAAAAAGGAAATTAGGCGAGTTTATTTAGAGCGGATTATAGTGGTATAAAAAAGAAAAGAAAATACCGTTTATCAGTTTCTTTCACCTTTATTATCTTAGAATGTACGCTTAAAATACTCGAGCCGAGGTCGACGTTAAAAGGTTT